AGGGGGCTAGGCCAATGAGGCTTTATATGGGGCTAGGCCAATGAGGTTATATAGGGGCTAGGCCAATGAGGCATTAAAAAGGGGGCTAGGAATGAGGTTTATAATGGGGTAGGCTAATGAGGTATTTTTCAAGGGGTTTTATTCGGGTGTGTAAAACCCCGTCCCGATTTACGAGCACCGCGGGACCCAAGGGTTTTGGGAGACAATCATGCGGAGAGATACTCAGGGCGCTAAAATGGGTGGACTGGGAGGGTCATACGAAAGTTTAGAACAAGGAGGCCCCTTCGTTAAAGGGTGGTGAGAATGAGCAGGTCCCGTTTTGTTGCAGGTTGATGCTGATACTGAGGGGGTTTTCCGAATTAGTATAAAAAAAAAGTTTTTAAACTGGATAAAACATAAAAATAAAAAGTCAGTTCCGCCACCCGGGATGTAGTTTTTTTTTTTTTTTTTTATTTAAGCCCATACATTTTTACAAAAAATAAAGAAACAGTATGAACCAATCAAATAAAACGAAAACGGATTGTACTTACATGCTCGAAAGATTTACAAAAAAAACTTATATCAAGGAAAAAACAAAAAAAAAATTTACATGTACAGGGAAAGAATTGACATATATACAAACCTTGCATATATAAAATTGTACTAAAATGACATTGCAAATAACAAAAAAGAATAAGCTTAGAAACCCCAAAACAAGCTCTATACTGTTACAATACCCCCTTAAAAAAATTTTTCAGACAATGGACTACTCACTAAACTGTTAGAAATGTCTGTATACAACAGACAAAAATTTTAACATCAAGAACTTGCATGAACCCCAAAACCGGGTTTTCAGGGTACGGGCCTTAATTATAAATTTTAAAAAAGAACAATCAGGGTATATAAAGTTTGACAAAACGTCTGACCTGAAAAAGGCTCAATAAATAGAAAGAGAATATATTTTTATATACACATACCACCCCCACCCCCCCCACTCCACACACACACACACACACGAAAAAAAAAAATTTTTCACAAAATCACATTAATCATATGCACTTTTGCCCAATGCAAAACAGGATAAAGTTCTCTCATCGTGCAAAAACCCAGCAGTAACATAAATAAAAACAAAAACACATGAGTCGCAAATAACTTATTCTCAAGAATCATGTTACAAGACTATACACATCAAAATTATCTAAAAAATCTACTATATTATACCTCTTTCTAAAAATTGTTAAACTCCATAACGGGGCCTTGAGCTCTCATCCCCCTTTGGGATCCCATAAACCCCCAAAAAAAACCAAAAACCATTCCAACCCACATTCCAACACTTCACGACCCCCCCCCCAGGGGGCGGCCCGCTGTTGCCCCCTGCTCCCTCCAACCTATAAAAACCCCTTCATTCCTATTCCAAATCAAGTTTACGAAAATCCCTAACTTTAGCTTCAAACCCCTTTTAGAAAGCCTGACCCCCCTCCCCCCATAAATCTTTTTAGACACTGTACTTAGAACGTTACCGCAAGCCCTTCTTCTCTCCTCACTATCCCTCCCCCCTCATCCCCCCGACTTTTAATATAATTAACCTGATAAAATTTAAAAGCTCTTATACACCCTGTCTAACCCCCCAAAAATCTAGTTTAGGCACGAAAAACCGCCCCCCCAGGGCCCCCCCCCTCAACCAACCTACAAA